TCAGCAGAGGTTTCTTGGGGCACGCGGGCCGTCTTCAAAAATCTTATCAGAGCCTTAGCATGAGCTTCTGAACAAAGCAACAGGGCTAACATGGAGATCTTTGAGGGGGTTTGCCCCAGCTGTTCCACCATATCATAATCGCTTTTCTTGATTATTTTCAAAATTTCCTCCATTTCTTTTTGATAGGTTTCAGGGATGATCAACGGATGAGCCCTCATCCTGATGAGCTCTTCTTGGATCCCTTTCCCTCGAACATCAGTAGCAGCAGAGGGGATAACCACGGGGGTTGTGACTTATTCTATGATTGGCATACTTGCAGATATGTTTACCGGTGTAGAGACAACCTTAGGAGAAGCTGAGGGTCCAAAAATTGTCTTTGGAGGGGCAATCTCTGGAGAAAATATTCTTCCACTACGGGTAACTTTGCTCGTTCCGACAATATTACTGATGTCGGAATTGTCTTCTTCAGAACTCTCTTCCTCGGCAGTCTGTTCAATCTGTTTGACACCATGGTAGTAGATTTCTCCACCATAGTTCCATGGTACTGATTTGTCGCACTTGTACGGGACTGGCCCGGGCATGGTTATCTTCAAAGGTGCAGCCTTCGGAGTGGATGTAATCCTAAAAAGTCTTTTAGGGACCTTTGAAGGATTTGCGGATATGGTTATATTGAAACATCGTTAACAGGAGTTGATAAAACAGGAGTCTTCTCAAATAGGATTTCTTGGTTATCAATTAGGCGTTGGATGCCTATCTTCAACAATGGACAGTGGGTTAATGAGGATGAACAAAGGTGACAATCTCCTTCACAACCTGGGAAAACCCCAGCCTTTAACAAATTTAACTTGATTATAGGGAGCGGAGTTATCAAATCGTCTACAGTAGCAACAAACAGATCCTCCTCAACAGCATGGGCGTTGTGGCCGTGCCTTGGCATTGGAGCAGAGATAACATTGGGTTTTTCAGGTGCATCGAATTCAACTTCTTTAGTATCTATCAGATCCTGAGTTCGGATGGTAATATGGAGAAGCAGTGTTAGGATTTTTAGAGGCCTCTTTCAGCATGGCCAAATTAACCTTCAGAAGATGTGGTAGGACTTGAGCAGGAGTCATGTTTATCTTGGTGAATTTTCGTACAGGCCTTTCCACCCTTTGCTGGTTATTTCTCGGTTGGTCATTTCTCGGCTGGTTGTTTCTTGGCTGGTCTGATGCAGACTTTTGAATCATAACGGCCCCCACCACTGGCCCGCGCTCAACTCTTCCTTGACCCCTCTAAGAGTAGACAGCTGATACTTCCTTCTTTCCCGTGAAAGGTTTTCTGATGGCAGCAGAAGTAGATGCATCTTTTTGAATTTTCCCACTTTTTATACCGGCCTCCACTCTTTCTCCAGTTAGAATCAATTCAGTGAACCCAGCAGACGAACTTCCAATCAGGTGATTGAAGAAATGACCTGACAGGGTACCCAGGAACATGTCTACTAGCTCCCTCTCAGATAGGGGTGGTTGCACCCTTCCGGCTAAATCCCTCCACTTTTGGGCGTAGTCTTTAAATCCCTCGTTGGACACCATGGCCATACTCTGGAGTTGAGTACGGGTTGGTGCCAAGTCGGCGTTGTGTTGATACTTTTTATAGAAGGCAGCTGCCAAGTCTTCCCAATTATGCACATCAGACCTCTCCAACTAGTAGAACCAATCAAGCTGCGTTCCTGACAAATTGTCCTGGAAAAAGTGGACCCACAAATCTTTGTCAGCAGAATGCGGTTGAATTTTCCTGACATAAGATCTTAGGTGCATCTTGGGAAAAGACACCCCATCATACTTGGAAAATAGTGGCACTTTAAACTTCGGAGGGATTACTATTCCAGACACCAAACCTAAATCCTTAATGTCCAGCCCCGGTACTCTCTGTATCTCCATAGCAGCTAGACGCTCTTCCAAATTTTTGTATTTGTCATCGGCCGGAGGGTACTGTTGTTTGGAGTAGTCCTCTTCCTCTTCTTCTTCTGCTTCAGAATTGGATTGTATTGCCGTCTCTTTACCTTTTCTTTCCCCCTCTTCAGAAGTTGATGGGAATTCCAAGGTTCGTCTGGCTTGTCCTTCAAAACTTCTTCCCATGACAACCACATCGGCTCGCTTCTTCTTCTTTTTCTCTTTCTCTTTCTCTAGCAGAGTCTTGTGCTCCTCCTGCCCCTTGGCTAAGGTCAAGAGTAGCTATTGAAATTGTGAATACTGAGCTTGTAAGTCTTTGACCGTTTGTTCAAGATCCATCTTGCTGAAATAAACAGCAGAGAGATGAGGAAACTTAGTGTGAATACCTGCTTATGCATATGATGAATGGTATGTATTCATGCAATGCTTTCAAGGATTCAGAAATTCAAATTTGTTTTAAACAAGAAAGAAACACATGTCATATTAATAAGATATAATTTGTTAGTACATCAATGCCCCTTGGGCAAAATAATACAAAATTCTAAGGTAAAAAGACGTTGCGCATCCTCTTTGGTGAAATGTAGGTGTTGAGAGTCTGCTCTTCGTGAAGTAACCGAGTGAGTTCTAAAACCTTCTTCTCGCTTGCTTAGAATTGGGCTTCAAAAGTATCGCGTTCTCCCTTGAGCTGTATCCAACTCCTTTGTAGATCTTCGAGTGATGTCGGCATGTCTGGATGTAGGAGGGTGTATGGAACCTCTCCTTCCCTAGCAGGCTATATAATCACTGGGAGAATAGAGGGGTAAGGCATCATAAGACTTTGGGCGCGAGTTCGTACCCACTTGAGGTAAGGCTCAAAGGGGATAGAATTCTTGTGTCCCAAGGTCTTACTGTCTACCTTGTTAGGCATCCTCCAAGCTCGGACGAACCTTTGACGAAGTCCTTGATTGTCATTGTCGAAGTCGAAGACCAAACCTTGAATCAGCATGTCATGTGGGCCATCCCTTGGGGCATAACCAAATTGTCTTAGAGCCAAGCAGGGGTTGTAGGTGATGCCTCCCCTAATGCCAAGTAGAGGGACATTAGGGAATTCCCCATAACGGTCGACGATGATAACATTCTCTTTGGTTCGATAACACCAATGAATATATGAATGTGTAAGAGTCATCAATCATTGTGACCACCTCAAACCTTGCTCATTCTTCAAGACTGATTGGGGAAGATGAGAAATAAACCATCTTGCCAGGAGAGGAGTGCAACACATGAGAACACCTCTTTTCCTCATTGTACGAGTGTGAAAAGAGTGGAGGATATCCCCAAGCAATGTAGGCACCGGTGTAATACCCCAAATTTGTCCTACCCTTCTACTTTTATCGGGTTTATGCATTTTCGCGCTTTTCTCATGTACATAACTCCATTAGGTCATTTAACATTGCATACATTCGCTAACAACACAATTTGGCATGGGATCAATAATAGGAGGGAATTAGGGTTTCCATGGCTTTGATGGTTCTCATATTCACTCAGGCTTGAATCAGTTGGTTTCCGAGTAACTGTGGTTTATGGAACTAGGGTTTGGATTCTTAATTATGGTGAACTTCTCCCCCATCAAGCTATAAGGTTGTCATCCTCGTCAAGGGCAGGATCACTAGGGTTTCACTAAAGGTTTAAGTAAAGACTATGTGAACTAAGGTCTAAGTTCAAAGTCATCTTGAATATCTTCTTCAGGGGTCCAAGACATCGTTATTCTAGTGCTCATATAGTCGGGACATGGTACAAGATATGGATTGTAATCAAGGTGTCATTATTTCAAATACTTGTTGCTTGACACACAAGTTTGGTTTATATTGAGGAAGTGAATTGAATTAGGGATTCATTGAAGTTGTAATTTAATTGGAACTCATTCATTAAGATGTGAAGAGGATTTGGGTTGAATAAAAGTTCTTAAATATTTGTGTGGGATTTCTTAGAATAAAAAGGCATGTATCAAACTCATTTGTTTCATCCAACAATCAAAGTGTCATCCAAACAGTCATTCAAGAACTCATTAAAGATTCAAGTCTCTTCGTGATTACCTCGCAAAAATTTTGGATTCGTGCCATGATTATTTGAATTCATACAAAGGCGTCTAAAGGGAATATTGAAGGGAAAGGAATTTGGAAGTTCAAAATCAATTTGAAAGTTTAAGGTTACAAATGAATTACATCATCCAATTTTCAAGGTAAAATTCATTAAGGCTTCCATTTATTCAAGTTCCAAAATACATTACAAATATCCAACACCATTTACAATATCCAAAAATATACTACAAAAATGAGAAATACACTTAAAGATGCATATATTGATTCTCATCATCGCTTTCTGTGTGGCCTTGTCGTGTTTGAAATGCAACCTTAGTTTGCTTCCATTTTCATTATCTTCTTCATGACCAAACTGGCGTATTGTAACTTTCCATGATCTATGCCTGTTGTTTCAATCCAAAGCAATCCTGAACATTTATACAACAAAAAGAAAACTCAGAAGGAGAAACCTGCATAAAGCAATACAGAAAACCAGTTTAGAATTTAACCAAATAACCAATTCCAAACAACCCTTTTCCCTAACCATATTCTCCATAACCTGTAAAAGAAGACTAACAAAACCAAAACAGATTCTTGACAATACCTCTAACCAACCAACTGTCAAACAACCTAACTAATTCCTAACAGAATTCCCAACAAACCAAAACAGAATTCACTAACAGTAACCAAAACAGAATTTTTTATAAAACATTCTCTAACAAACTCATAACAACCCCTAACATAAACTAACAAAGCTAACTGATTCCTCCACTCAACGAATTCTAACAGAATTAGAACAGAAGAAACAAAAAGGGGTAATATAAGATGGCAGAAGAGAGGGAGAGATTCAGCAGGATACGGTTTCTTACATTGAGAATTTTCACAGAGAAATAGATATACAGAGATTTGCAATAAAAGAAAAACTCACCAACAAACTCTGAGATCTCTCTCTCCATATCTCTGCTTCCATTCTTCAATCTTCATCTTTCTCGAATATCAATATCCACCATCTTCATCAACCATCCTTCTCTGCAATGACCACAACAAATCCTTCATCCTTCTCTGCAACGACCACAACAAATCCTTCATCCTTCTCTGCAACAACCACAACAAATCCTTCATCCTTCTCTGCAACAACCACGACAAATCCTTTATCCCTCTTGGCAACAAACTTCTGCAATCTCTTGTGCAACAACAACTTCACATCTTCAATTTTCCTCACTGCAAACAAGCAACAACAACAACATCACTATGTAGACGCAACTTCAAACAATGACGCAACAATACAAAAGAATAAACAAGAACGCAAGGCAGAGAAGTAGAAGTAGAAGAGCATTTGGCATCAAGAATTCGTACCTGAACTCCGTGTTTCTTGCTAGATATCATTTGTGTCATGTTTGTTGCTGCCTCGAACCCGCGATTGTTGTTGCTAGATAATAAAATCCCTTGACTATGGTTCTGATTGGAGCTTCGATTGAAACCATTTTACTGATCCAATGTTGATTCAAGGTGAAGACGAAATAGATAGGTAAGGTGTTTACCGTGGTGTGAGATGTTGACGTTGTTCGCAATAGTGGTGGAAATTGATAAGGGTGGCGATAATGAAACCGGATCGAAGGAATTTGAACTGAGGTTACAATTTGAGATCGCCGGTGATGGAACCACGACGCTGGGAGACGGAAGCTTGAGACGGATGATGAGGCGAAGAATGGGCGGAGATATGATAGCAAACCACGGAGAAGCATGGGAAGCGACTCAATCGGAACTGAGACGGCAGCGCGCTCGATTGGAAGAAGGAGAAGGGAGCGGCACCATTGACGAACGAAGAGGATAACTCCTCAAAACCTAATCTCACGTTCTCATTCCCTTTCAATTTCTTTTTTCTTTTTTTTTTCTTTATTTTATTAGTTATTTATTTCTAGTAAAATAATAAAAAACAAAAAATAAGCTTGGATTGTTGTTGATGGATCTTGGGTCGGATTGCTTGTCCTGGGCCCATTTTTATTGTTTTGGCACATGTCGTAGCTAGTGTTACAAGAAGTATTGTTGGACTATACCCCCTGTATCCTGTTAACACCCCCTGACTTTTCTAATCTCATTAATATTTTAGTTTTTTTCTTCTAGTTTAATTTTTTCCTCTTAATTGATAATAAAAATGATACAAAAATAGTAGAATGTTTTAGGAAATATTTTTAGATTCTCTTTAGAATTTTATTAGAATTTTTTATTATTTCCATGTTTAATAATCATTTTCGTTGTCATTTTTAGTTAAGATTTCGTGATAGTATTGATATAACTTTCGCGATGGGAAATGCTTGGAGATTAACTTTTGATCATTCAAGGAGGCTTCTGTAGAGTTTTCTTATGGCTTGCATGGTTATGAAGAGGCAACAGACCTTCTCCGTTCGGTATCGTCACAACTCTATTTTATTCCTTCACTTTACCACTTTCTAGATATCGTGTGAAGTAGGGAATAAAGAGCGTGCGCTCGAAGTCGCTGTTTAAAGACCTGTAGAAGGCATTCCGCACTTCATTTGCTATATGTGTTGTGCTTGTGTTTGTTTACTTTCTCGTTGATCGATGAGTCACTCAATTTAGAAATTGAGATCACAACTTTGCTCCCATTGCATGCTCCCTATAGGATTTTATCGCTTTCCATTCTTTCTTGTTGATCAATGAGTCACTCAATTTAGAAATTGAGATCACGACTTCGCTCTCATTGCATGCTCCCTATAGGATAGTTTTTTTTAGACTTTTCTTCGACATGCTAACCTAGGCAAGATCTATTTAGGTGTGTTTTTTTGCTGGCTTGCTTGCTTTATCCTTGTACATACCATGTTCCCTTAGGATGCGCTTGCTCCGTTCGGATGCAAGATAAACCTTAAGTTGTAAACCATGCATGCTAACATTAGGTAGATGTTCCCCTTTTGTTAATCCATGTTCCCTTAGGACTACCATTGTATGATAATATTAGGTTAGAAATAGGCTAGTCTCCCTTAGACTCTTTTCTTCCCCTTTTGCATCCTTGCATCTAAAACAAAAACTTCTTTTCTCAGCAAATCAAAAACATGCTAACAACACTTAAACCCTTTTTCAAGGTAATAAAACACAAAATCATATTCGAAACATTTTGTTCCCTCGAGCACCCTTTTATCTAAAACCCTTTTCAGGTAAGGACATGATTAGTTTACTTCTGTGTCAACGCATAAGTCTCCAAAGGTCGAGCTGTGGCAGAAGGCGGAATTAACATTGTCTATAAAAAAACACAAAACAAACAAAAACATATGAGTCGAACTACGGTAGCTCTGATTCCTCAAAAAGGATACGTAGGCATTGGGGTAGGGTCCAGGCGAGCACAATTTTATTTTCACTACATTCTTTTCTCCTTTATTTTGCATGCATTCCCTTCAGTAGTATAGTAAACAGTAAGCATAGATTAAACACACCCATAAGATAGACAACAAGAGTGGATACCATAGAGTACTACGGGCGTGTGGGGTGCTAATACCTTCCCCACACATAATAGACTCCCTTACCCGATCTCTCAGTCGCAAGACTGTGACTTCTCCCTTCTCAGGTTTTCTCGATGTTTACCTTTCCCTACACGTGGGATAAAAGACGTTCGATGGAGACTTCATTGTTTTGATGATTTTCAGCCGGTTGTTTCAGCTGGCGACTTCACTGGGGACAGGTCAACCAAATGCTGGTCCATTCCGGAGTCGCTCCTAGCTCTTGCTTTCTTTCATTTGGGTGTTTATCTTTACGCTTTCAGTTTATTCATTCATTTTGTATATACTTGAGCATACGTATGCATTGCATTTTACTGTCTTCCATATACTACAGTTGTACTGGATCTGCTTCTTATTGGGTGGGTGTTACTATGAGGTAAAAGGCCCAATACCCAGGACAGAGTTGTATACCATAGGAACCCTAGGAATAGAGTGGAACATGAACGGCTAGTTGACTTAGGTCTCACTATCGCCGCCATGTCGTCCACGCTCAGATGAGGTACAAATGAGGGGCTATCATTTTCACGTAGGTGATACGGCGATAGTTTTTCAGGAGTACCCTCGATTATGAGTTACCATTGCCTTACCCTGACCTAGTCTTCACCCGCGAGTGGGGAGGGAATTTTGACCACAGGTACAGATGGTGACTATGCTCAGAAGGTAACTATTGGTTCTAGTGGTTATGTTCTAGATTTCTGTTGGTAACTTTATGCATATGCTATATCCTGTTGGTGACCGTATGGCTCTCAGATTTATTTTCTGAGCTCCTGACTTGTTTACTTGGAGGTTCATTCAAGCCTTCAATCTTGGTATTCCCTTCATGTTCAGAAATTCTCAACAGTATCCGATGTTCCACAAGCCTTGACCCCGTACAATGGGAGATCCATATGGTACTTGGTTCTTATATATGCAGAAGCTATGTCGGACCTTTGATCTGATGATACTCATATGGTTCAGAACGGTGCAGCAATCATATTCAGAAATGATGGAACCTTGATCCTCTTTGATCTCATGCCTTTTCATACATAACATGGCTAACCACATGCTTAACATACATGTTCTATTATTTCAAAGGAATCACATTTGCAAGTCTTGTGCTAAACTTTTCCATCCCTTACTTGCGCAAAATCAAAATCAAAGCACGCAAATTCCTTGGAAATGGCAGAACATGACATGGAATTCATTCATACACCCCATGCATATTCATGCATTCATGAAAGATACCCGAAGATTGGGGATTCTTATTCAGACCTGGGGTTCTCTTCAAAGGTTCAACCTGATTTCTCACCGCACATGCTCAGAGATCAGTTATGGAATAACTCCGAGTGGTACATGCAAGCTTTGGCTCATAGTCAGAAACTTCTTCAAGCAGGAAGATAATGGATTAAATACTCAGATAAGCCAGGTCATGGAAACTCTGATGATGATGTCTATTATTTCTTTAATACATGATATGCTTGGTGATGCATATTATACTAGGTCACCTGGCCAATCGATTGAAGATGGTATGTCATCCAAAGACAATTTCCAAGACAAGCTCAATCCAGAGACTATTGTGTTCATATCAGATCTGAAGGGGAATTCTCTCGCACACTCGAGCATCAAGACTACAGAAAGTCGTCAGAATTAGCAAGTCCATACGGAGTCAAGTCTCATCAACAATGACAATCATTGGTTTCTTTACTGCATTTTCATTTGCATTCTTGCTTGTTTGTTTAAACATCGCTTGTATATAAAAACTTGTATATTTTTTAACGGAAATCTTAATGCAATAAGTATGCTTGTCTTGAAGTGTTCCTTTCATTTTTACTCATCCATTCGTTATCACTCTTTAAATGTTTTACTTGCATATTGATGCCATATTTCCTAGTCTTATGCTTAGGTAGAGATTCAAAGGAGGATGATGACAATATGAAAACGCAAAAATCTCTGGTTGGTACGCTTTTGAGTAAGACTCTGCTGACGATGTAAAAGCCTTGTTTCAAATCCCTAAACACCGGAGATATAATAGAGATAGACCCTCGTCAACCCCTCTAAGCCTTCGAAGTAGGAGTTTTTTTCTGTTCAGAAAAAACCCTCATTTTAACCATGGGGTGGGTAGTGTTCAGCTAATTTGATCAAGCATTCAGAACTCATCAAGAGTGTGCATCCAAGGATACAACAATGGTTATCCATCAAAAGGTTGAGGGAAGTCAAAACCACAATGGTTAACCTTCGTCTATCAGCAACGTGCATCAACTAATGATACCCCAATGAGTATCCCTCGCACGTCAAAAGGTTAACAAATGACGATACAATAATGGCTATCCATCATCTACTATAGACTCAGGCAGTCACGATCACTTGTGACAAATCAAAAACAACACAAAGATCAACGACTTGTTCAAAATGAAAAATACGAATAAGAAAGAAATAGAAATCCCCGCTAAGTCAAAACTTGAAAACAAGTCGCTTAGGCAAAAATTGGGGCATCCCGTTGGACTTCCAAATCGACATTCAAAAGAATTTGTCCAGGAAAAAATTAGGGAAAGCAAGAAATAAATTGAATAAAGCCTAAAAGGAGAGAAAAGGATTACCAATGAAAATCCTCATCAAAGAACAAAGTCGTCTGATCAGACACCAAAATCAGAAGTTAGTGACTGTCGTGTCCAAGAAACCACAGTGGTTCCTCAACCATCACAAACTCTTCAAGAGAGATGAATGCTTGTACCAGGTCAACTGAACATAGGAATGAAGAACATCATAGAGAATGGGTGGGAAACAAATAATTTTGAGCCTTAAATCCTTTTTCTAAAACCGTGAACCAGGCCACGTTACAACCCTTTCAAAGTCCTAACTGAAGCATGGGTTAATTCGAAAGCATGCTACAGAGAGATAGCGTTTAACTGACTCCTAAGAGGTATGTTTGAATATCTGTGTTGGAATCATATGCTTGCATTATCTTTCATAGAAAAAAAAAGGAATTTGCAAATGTT